TTGTGGGTGGTAGGCGGTCGTTCGTAAGCGCGTGATTCCTTGTAGTGTGGTCAGACAATGGAAAAGTCCATAATCGAACTGGTGTCTGCGGTCTGTAGTGATGGTTGAAGGGCAGCCAAAAGTTGCTACCTATCGTTCGACGAAAGCGCGAGCCAATGTTTCAGCAGTAATGTTCCTAATAGGTACTGCTTCTGGCCATCGAGTGATACGGTCTACGCAGGTTAAAAGACAAGAGTGTCTGTTTGAATCTGGTAAGGGTCCTACCAAATCCAGTTGAACATGGTTGTAACGAGCATCATGGGTTTTGAAAGAACCTAAGGGATATTTGTTGAGTCTTATTACCTTAGATTTCTGGCAGCTTACACTGAAGCGTGCCCACTCCCTCACGTCTTTATTCATACCAGGTCAGCAAAACATTTCGGCTATAAGCTTAATGGATGCACGAACACCTGGATGAGAAAGATTGTGCAACGTATTGAAGACGTTGCGTCGATGTTTTGGCACGGTTGAACGATCCCTACCTGTGGATGTGTCACATAGTAAGTTTTCCCTACCTGTTCCCATCTGTTTCATACGCAGTTTGAGGGTTGTCGAGGATAACTGATGCTGAAGATCAATGTCTTCTTTTTGAAGCTGAGTGAGTTTAAGAAGGTCGATTCCCCGGAAACTGTTCAGGGAACTTATTCGAGACAAAGCGTCTGCGACTACATTGTTTGCTCCAGAAATGTGTTGTATATCTGGAGTAAACTGCAAAATGTAGTCCAGTTGTCGAGACTCTCGCGGTGAGTACTTATCTGAAGATGAACTTCAAAGAGAAGGTAAGAGGTTTGTGATCGGTGAAAAGAGTGAACTCTCTTCCTTCGATAGAGTGTTGGAAATGCCGTACAGCACAATACATGCTAGTAGTTCCCTAACGAACGTGATGTACCTATATTCCGAGTCTAGCAACCGTCTCGAGAAAAATCTTAAAGGTTGCCGAGAGTTGTTAACCCATTGTTGTAAGACTCCTCCGATTGCTGAGTCGGATGCGTCTACGGCGATACTAATGGGCGCTTGAGTGTCTTGATGCGCAAGCAGGGTTGCCTTAGCGATATGTTCCTTAACTGAGGAGAGTTCTTTTCGAGCGGTGTCGTCTAGACTAATTGATTTCGCATTTCCACGAAGTTGGTCGGTTAACGGTTTCATAAGGGATGCGCATTTAGGTATGAACGGTCTATAGAAACTTGCAAGGCCATTAAAAGTGCGCAAATGCTTAGATGTGGTCGGTTCAGGGTAATCCAGAATGGCTGACTTTTCTTCTAAGAGGTCGGATGCATCGAGCATCAATAGGTTGTCCGAGGAAGTCTAAGGAGTTTGTTCCGATTTGGCATTTCTGAATGTTGACAGTAATGCCATGCCTTTGGAGTTGTTCGAAAGCAATGTCCAGATGCTGGAGATGTGATTCTCTGTCCGGACTTGCTATGAGACAGTCGTCAACATACGCATGTACAAAGTTGAGACCTCGGAAGACATCATCTATGAACATTTGGAAGGTTTGAGCCGCATTTCTTAGGCCGAAAGGCATTCGTGAAAATTTTTCGGGGCCGAAAGGAGATATATTAGTGGTTTTCGGAACGTCCTCAGTAGTCATAGGGATTTGGTTATAAGCTTTAACCAAGTCGATTTTCGAAAAGACAGTTGTGCCTTTCAAGGTAGCTGTCAAATCGTGAATGTGTGGCAACGGGTAACGATCGGGAATGGTTTTAGCATTCAGACACCGATAATCACCAGTTGGATGCTAATCATTGCTGTCCCTTTTAGGGACCATGTACAAGGGGGATGACCAAGGGCTATTTGATGGTCGAATGATTCCTAAGTCTATCATGTGATCGAATTCGTTTTTAGCCAACCTTAGCTTTTCGGGAGCCAGTCGTCGTGCTTTTGAGAATACAGGTGGTCCTGTAGACGAGATGTGATGTGTAACATTGCTGGTTACACATGACAATTTGGGTTGGTATATCCCGGAGTATTTGTCGAGTAATGATTGATATAAGGGGTCTATGGCGTGTTTAATTGTGACTGGGGATAATCTGCAACCAGAACAAGGAGATACGCAAACAGATAACTTAGTGTTTCCGTCTATTAACCTCCGTGAGCGTGTATCGATGAGTAGATCGTGTTATTATAACAGGTCTACACCAATGTTTGGCATAGAAACATCTGCAACAACGAAGATCCAGTGAATGGGTTGGCGTAAACCCACGTTAAGGTCAACGTACCTCTTACCATACGTAGCAATCGGTTTTCCGTTTGCCGCCTGTAAGCTTAAAACAGACTCGGTAAGCCTGTTATTAAAATTAGAAGGAAGAACGCTAACTTCTGCGCCGGTGTTAACAAGGTAGCGAACTTTCGTAGTCACATCTGTGACGTATAACGGACGTCTGTGTTCGCCGGCTATGGTTACCGTTAACGCTTGCCGACTGGGAAGTTTCCCGAGTTTTTATTTGTGTCAGTCGATTTAGAGTTCGAGTAATTGCAGGCTTTCCTGAAATTTCTGAGAGACTTACCATACTGTTTATGATACCAGCACCAGTAGGCGTTGTCTGTCTCTCGTGGTCGAGAGGCAGATCTCATACGTGAGACACTTTTACGTGGAGTTTTTGACCGACTACGGTCCTTACGAAATCTAAGATATCGTGTGAGAGTGTGACATAGTTCGGCTATGTCAATCGGGGCCAGTTGAGGTTTCTCTTTGACGGAAAAAACCTCGGCGCTAGTCAATTTCGTAATTTCCAAAATTCGATCAGCAGATGCAGCGAGTTCGTCTACGGCGTTGTTTTGAAACGAGACGAGAACTGCTTGCACCTGTTTCAGGAGTTTGGATAAGAAGAGCTGTTTAAATAGGCCATCATCGGACGTTCGTTGACCTATCACTTCTTTCATCCTTAACAACATGTCCGCCGCGGAATCATGTTTCAGGTCAATATTGTTAAGTAGTTGACCCAACCGTTGTCGATCGGTTAGATCTCCGCGTTTTAGAATTGACAGTTTAAGTGTTTCGTAAGGTTCTGGAACATCACCGGTAAACATACTAGGTGTTACGTACCTGTTAAACTCGCGCGGTTTACCTTAACGACCGCAAGGAATTGCGTGTGCGACTCCGTGCATGCAAAAGTCACCTTATGCGTAGCAGAACCAGGCTTCGATATTGTCAGGCCAGAAGGGAGTTAATTGAATCGATGGTGGGGGAATAGTGTTTAGCTTAAATGCCTTAGGTGTCTTTGCCGTCATAGTATTATTGGAACAAAAAATATATAATTAAAATATATCCGAAAAACTCGAAAAGAAGGTATATCACAATATATAAAAATCAAATAAAAACAATGAATAATGAAGTTCCAAAAAGGAACAGACTCACAGTTTATCGATCGGTGTACCAGATAACGTCGGTCTCACCACTGAAGATACGACAGGTATTGTAGTTTTACAACTAGCAACCGGTAACACCTTCTATATTCGAAGCGTCCCCCAATCGGTTAAAATCAGAAGTCAGATGTGAAGAAATTGGAAAGATGTATTTGATCCGTTATCAATATATCGAGAAGCGTTTACTCTAATCTGGCTAGTGAGCGTAGGAGCTGTTTCCCACACTGGGTCGTAACGTGATCTAGTACGGATGCATGACCGAACACCTTCAGTTAAACAAGTCCACTTAAAACAATGTGGTCAGCATCCAATATCGAACACTTAAAGAGATACCATAAACGCTCATATACACACACAAACCAAAGAGTCAAGAGAAGAGGAAGTATTTCACCACCATGGGGTGACAGCAATACCTCATCATTAGATGAAGGCGACTTCGGTAAATCGCAGGTATTCTCATACTACTTAAGCAGTGTATGTATCGCAGAGACATCCTTCCCTCCAGTTCATACAGGCACACCGCACGAACACATCTGAAACTGTGATCCTTAAAATACTCAACGTTTTTGGTTTGCAAATCAGCTCGACATAGGCAAATCCATGGGACCTTATAAAATGCACCCTAGGTTACTAAAATATTAGCTAATTTTGTATGGAATTCCTAATGTACATGTTCTAGTCTACTTTTAACCTAGGATAGATTGTCAAAAGACTGGAAGAATGCTATAGTAAGTGCTAACTTCAAAATAGGTACGAGACATAAACCTGAGAACTATGTACTTGTAAGCTTAACCGTAGTGGTCTTTAAAGTTTTGGGAAACATTCGGAAAGAGTTGTTTAAGTATCTCGATAAAAACCGGATATTTTCTGAAAAATGGCTTGACTTGAGAACAATTTATTCCTGTTCTTCATTAACTTATTAGTAGCCCGTGAAAGTTGGTGGACTCTTAAAGACCAAAAATTACCGAAAGATGTAACGTACATTGACTCTATCAAGGCTTTTGACGAAGTTCCTCACAGCGGGCTGCTATATAGGTGAAGTAATGTTTGGATTGAAGGTTAATAAGGAACAAAGAACTTCCTAGTTGCATGTCAACAAAGAGCGCGGGTGAACTAAAAGTTGTCCAGCTGGGAAACTGTGCTCAACGGAGTACCTCAAGGGACAGTCTTGAGGCCAGTGTTGTTCCTTTTGTATGTAAATGACTTTCCTATTTTTTTTAAACATCATCGGTTTTTGTACATGCTGACGTTGTCAAGATGTGAAGAGCAATAAAATGTGAAGGTGAGAACCAAGAGCTTCAACATGATCTGGGCAAATGAATTGAATGATCTAGAATTCGGCAGTCACCGATAAACGCCCTCAAGTGCATCGTGATGCATTCTGGTCATCAAGATACAGATAAATACATGGTGAATAACATTGAGCTACATGTTGTCCAGACATTCAACATGAGCCAAGACCCAAAAACTACTGCGAATTGTCGTGCGATATTCGCCAACGGTTTTAGAACAGTGTTCAGTACGTAAGGCTTTTATCCACGTAGACGCTAAAAGCTTTTTGGTTTTGTATACAGTTTTTTTACTTTCCAAACTCCAGTAATGCATACAAGCATCTAGCCCTTGAATAAAAAGGCAGCAAGCTATTGAAAAAGTTTCAAAGAATAGCAAGTAAGTTTATTCTCGAAATAGTAAAGATTTCGTATGACGCCCGAATGATTAAAATGAAACTATTTCCATGGTCATATAGAAGAATCAGATGCTACTTGGTCTCAGTTTTTAAATTACTTGGTAAAAAAGTTGCATCTGGTATCCCCCTAAATTTTCCACCCTCCAAAGCAGAGAACTTGCAAGGCCAGTCAAAAAGCGTTCACAGGCTCAGAATAAATTTCCTGTCAGCCGACAATAGACTTTACCAACAAATTGCTGGTTAGTAAGCGATTGAGACAACAGGTGAGAAGAAAATACATAGTAAGGAGTAATTTCAAGACAAACCTTTAACAGTACCTAACGAAAAACATCTTCAAATATTCAATAATACATCCACACTGAATAAGGCTCACATTTTATTTGGATTGTCGTCTACGTTTATTTGATAAAAATCATGCATCGTGCAAGAAGGCCGAGCTCCCAACACCCACTACTGATGCTATTTTGCTTTCGAGACAGGTCACACTTTGGAACCATGAACAGGACAAATGACAAAATATAACGACTACTGTCTTAACTCACTGAGAATTTTATTAAAGTTGGACCAATATAATGAGTCAGAATAACATAAATTCACTATATTTCATGTTTTCTCATCAGCTGCTTACGATCACATATGTATTTAAAGACAACATTGAGGTATGATATAATGTGCAAACACCTGATGAGAAACCGCGAAATATAATGAATTCACACTATTCTGCCTCAAGTGCCGTTCTGATTTTATCCCAATTCATAAAGGGAACCAACTGCGTGGAACTACTGCGAATTGTTCTGTATAACTAGTAGTTACTTACATCGATTTCGCTTACAGTTTTACGTAATTTCTAAGCAATAGTCGGTTCAGGCATCAACACGTAAGCCAAACAAGCTTTTCTGGATTTCCATAGATCATCACCAATGATATCCGACAATTCCATCACTTGAAATTTAACAAAGAACAAACTGATCAAGGAATTTTTGTTTTTTCAGTACAGCTCCTATAGTAGGCAGTTATTCAGGTGTTTTTAACGGGAATGGGAAAGTCAAATATTCCATGCTGCTGCAATACCGGACCTTAACAACGGCGGATGAGCTTCTTATCTGAGCAGTCGGTTTATCGATCTTGCTAGGCCAATGAGTAATCGCTTTCAGGATCATTTAAAATGTTCCGTTATCAGTGTACAAACTATTGATATGCGTACAACGTTCTCTCTAACAACAGCCGCAGACGAAAATGGAAGTGGAGATGAGAACACCTCTGTTTTAAAAGAACGGCCTGATGAGCATGTATTTAATTGATACTTGCTGTTATTAAAGAAGAGTTTCAAGCCAAAACTTTGACAACCGGTAACTCAGCTGGAACACATCCACCTTCTATTTCATCAACCCCTAGTTATTCAGAGGTGTATAATTAGTCGTTCGGCTTTCTTTTGACTACCCTAACAATGAAGTTACTTCATTCGTTTATCAATCCACTCCTTTGGTCTTTCGGTTTCACACAGCAGTGTGTCATCTTGGTGTGCATAGTGCTTTTGTGATTGAGTACTCCAATGAATGATACCTTTAGTTCCTCAACTATCATGCAGTCATCTGAAAGCAATTATAATTGATGACAACTTACCACAATGATGCAATACAGTGCATGGTCGTAAGGTAAAGCGGCTATCAGGGTCTGTTCGATGAAGAATATCTCTGTAGACGGGAATTTGCTTGTTCAGCAGTCGATTGCCGGGGATGACAAAACGTGTTTTCGTTCCTTGCTGTTGACGAGGACATACTGCCTGAATTGATGCCGTAAATCTAAGCCGTTGTAAACTGGTTTCAGTTTAGCATGAATGGAACTGAAACCAATCAATCAATAGTGACCGAATACTTACCATCTTAAGCGGTTTGATAAGTCATTCACAATTATTCAGATCAGTGGTTTCGTAAATTTGAAATACTTCATTGTCATTAGCATATGTAGTTCTTCCCCTCACTTCGGAGCATTTGAACCAACGTCGAGGTGCTTGATATTTGTAGACAAGTGGTTCATAGTTTTTGCAGCATGCTTTTTATGTGTGACTGCTCTTGGTGTAGTATTGCTTCCACCTTAACATATGTTTCTGTCATCGCAACGTAAGAAGAGAAGTCTGTGGTGGAACTAGTTCCCAAACACATAGTTCTTGAAGCTAAACATACAACAACTGGGAACACTCACGTTGGTCGTCAAACGCTCAAAGAAAGTTAGAAATGATGAGCTTGTGAGCACTTAGTCAAAACGTCTTGGCTCGGTTATGTTGGTGTGGTAGCTCCATGCGTCAGTTTGATCTTTGTATTAAATACCCTTTTTCATTGATCAGGTAGGATGTCCTCATCAGAAATAATCACTAAAACTGCTGACTGTCACGACAGGACGAGTCAATGTTGACAGTGTTGTGACTTCGATGTAATACCTTAATGATTAGATAGTCATGTCATGGCATATACACCATATTTAACCCCAGAAATATAGCATATTTCTAGGGTAAAAAGTATAGTTCAGACGCTTTGTCTCCAATATTCTTACTAATTAGCGATTAAAACCTGAGATCAAAAAATAACTTGGACGCAAAATACATTTCACGCACAGCTTCAAAAGTATGCTTATTATTATTTATTTATTTAAACACATATATATTGGTACAAAAGGGCACCAGATACATATGCGCCACACAAAATAATGAAAGTAGTAAGAGAAGGGATGAAAAGATAAGGCGGACTGAAATGTACAACCAGAAGACTCTTTCAGTTAAGAAAGTTAGAACCACTCTTTATGTAGAAAGTAAAAGAAGGTTGCAGCAGGATCGCCACTGGCTTCTATTCTGAGCCATATACGATAACGTCTCTAGCCACTGTGTTGCACCATCTCTCGGACCCCAGCCAGGGAGTCGTGAAGGACCAACAAAAGCTAGCCCTTTGCAGCTCTCTTTCATGCCACGACACCATGTCATACACTGACCTCCTCTCCGCTTTTTCCAACCAGTCCCAGGGTCGGCAAATAATGCACGACGCGGAAGTCTCTGGGACGACATTCGTAAAACATGTCCAAGCCACCGAAGTCAGTGTTTCAAGATGGTGACACCAATTGAATTATCGTCTCGGCGCCCGAACACACGATGCCGAACCTCTGCATTACTAATATGGTGTTGCCACTGTATGTCAGCAATCCTTCGGAGACAACGAACATAGAGAGACGTCTAACATCCTCAACTCGGAGAGGCCAGGTTTCACAAGCATAGAGCAAAACTGCTCTCACCGACGCGTTGTAGATCCGACCTTTTACAGCCAGACTAACATCACGAATGCGCCAAAGATGGCCCAGATTGGCATAAGCCGCTCTGGCTTTCATTATACGTGCACCAATCTCATCACTCACGCCACCACCAGCACTTATATAGCTACCTAGATACACGAACTTCTCAACTACTTCAATCTGCTCACCATCCAGGGTGAGTACAGGATTAGAATCCTGCCAGTCTTGTAGAAGTACTTTGCACTTGGAGGGTGCAAAGCACATGCCGTACCTGCGGACACTGATTGCCAACTGATTAAGTGCTGATTGCATGCCTTGGGCATTATCGCACAGTAAGACAATATCATCCGCATACTCAAGGTCGAGAAGTCGTTCTCCAGGCAACATATCCACACCGCCATTACTTACATTCATCAGAGCTGTTTCCAGGATGTCGTCGATGGCAAAGTTGAAGTAGAATATTGAGATTGGGCAACCCTGCCTAACCCCACTGCTCGAATGGAACAAGGGAGAAAGTTGGTTGTATGCCCTCACTCTGCCTGAGGTGTTCGTGTACAGGGCCTTTAAGATGTTAATGAACTTCTCAGGCACACCCTTCTTCAATAGACAATCCCAGAGAACAGTCCTGTCCAACGGATCGAAGACAGCCCTGATATCAAGAAACACTACGATTGTTGGCCTGCGATAAGTATGACGGTGTTCTAACATTTGGTGGAGGGTGAAGATGTGATCAATGCATCCTCGACCAGAACGAAAACCAGCCTGCTCCTCGCGAGTCAATCGTTCTCGGGTTTTAAACAACCTACGAAGAATGACAGAAGCCAATAGTTTGGACGCAATCGGAAGTAGACTTATCCCCCGATAGTTGTTACAGGAACAACGTGAACCCTTTTTAAAGATAGGGACGACTATTGACTCATTCCATGATGTTGGAACACTTTCTTGCTCCCAAACCTTTGCAAACAACACCGTCAGTTCCTTAGCCAGAAAGTCAACACCATCTTTAAAAAGAGCCGGAGGTAAGTCATCCAGGCCAGGTGATTTGTAGCGCTTCAAGAGTTGGAGTTCCTTGCGGACTTCCGCGTCGTTTGGTGGATCAGTCGTCACCGGCCATGGGGGGCAGGACAAACTGGTTGATGTTGCCGGAGCTTTTCGAGGCGACAGATGGAGAACGAATTTGTAGTACTTCACTAGAGTCTTGAATACGGGTCTCGGATAGACAGCAAACATCAACATCAAGACTTTCTAAAGACATAGCCAGCCCCATCTGTTGTCCGATCTGCATTAGTGTGCGGACGTTGAAGGAAGCCAGCTTGAACGGCGTACGTGGTTTCAGAAAGACTGCTTCAGTATTCGTAATCGGTGGAAGCATTCACTTTCAACCAGACAGTGACTGGAGATCGTTTAGATAGGACAGAGTTTCCACCATGGACGAGCTGCTGCATAAGTTGGAAAGGAAGGATATACAATTTGGGAATAAAGGGAGTGGAAAAGCGACGTAGTAAATAATAGTAATAATAATAATAATAGTGTAAATTGTCTTGCTTCTAATATGAGCGAGAATAGTATCGTCAATAGAATTCATCATTTCATTTATTTGTGTGTGGGCTGTGATACTGCCCAGGTGCCCAAACCGAAGCAGGTGGTTTTCTTAGGCGGACAAACCCGGAGCCTTTGACCTAAATTTCTGATCCACAGGGCAGTGGAGCATCGTGAGGAGATGCAGTCCTGTGGTAGCCGGTGACCAACAATAGGTTCATTCGCCATTCGTTCCATCAGAATACTGGAGCCCATGTGCACCATTGGTTTGGAATCAGGGTTTTCCAACTCCCCTAGGTGGACCCTCCGTGTCCACCAACCCGGTTAAAGTGCCGGACATTCGCTTTTCGTCCTCTCACTTTCGTGAACAACACCCCCAGCCACGAGAAGGCAGAGGCTATATATTCGCTGGCCATGTGAGAGCATTTCGAGAGGGAGAGCGGACTCTCCCCACTCTCGGTCGTACCAGGGCATTTGGGGGCAAGTATGCTGCAGCTTAACGATGAGCACAACAACAAAAAGACGAAAATGCATTGACGATGCTTACTGGGAAAGGTCTAGGTAATGATGGATATTCGATTTTTTTTCAACGAAATATGAATTCCGACTACAGTCAGTAAAAACTGTATTATTTATGATGTATCATCATAAAAAATTAGTTCTATTGATTGAAATAACTCACATATTTAATTAAATCACCGGATGGAACTATGCAAAACAATGACATCAAACTTTAAACAATGAGTAATAACTGTACGAAATTCAGTCACTAATTAACAAACAACAATGTAAACAAAAGCAATATAAGTGAATAAAAATAACTGAATCAGGGTAATTCAGCGAGAGCTTGAACAAGATCAGAGTACAATCGACATCCACGTAAAAATTCTGTTTTATCTAACCATTCATCATGATCATGCAATAAAACAGGAGTATTTCTAATCGGCGAAAATCCAATTGCATGTATTGGTTTTTTATTAGTAGAATGTGAAAGTAAATGATATTCTCGAACAAATCTGGCATCTGTACCACCAGGAAATATCCTCTTTTGAACTTTACTACCGTGTTTTGAGCAGACATTAATTAAAGTAGCCCACCAAGGATTAGTTGATTCATCTGGGGTAATAACTGAGTGTTTTAGATCAACGCCAGTATTGACGAATTCGAACTAAATTACAAAAATAAACGAATATGAGACCGGGAATGTCCATTATAAACAGTTGTTAAACTTTGACAAGGAAATAAGAGATACTTCATCAAACTTACTAATTCACTAAAATGTTATGTTTGATTGCATATTGATCAATGTTTACTATGAAAGTTATTTAACACACAGAAAGTAATATTTTTAAGTCCCGATGTATAAGAAGCTAGCAAGTGATATGAGGACCTGATTCTCTGTAGTCAATCAACTTTCAGTGACTAGGTAGCTGATTCAAACACAAGACTTATGGATAATGCAGAGTAAATCATTTACCAGGTACGGGTTAATGTAATTTTCTTTGAGATACTGCTTGTGAAAGAGTTAGTGATAATAATTGGCTTCCAAAACCAAAGTAGGTGGAGTGGAGTTTGAACTTAAAACGAATTGACTGAAAGTCGAGTCCTTTAATCACTAATCCCAGTAATGTCTTCAGCCAACCAACAAAGTGTGATGCATGGCTTATTGTAAAACATTGTATCTAATAGTTTATTTACATACTTAAATACACGAGCGATTACAGATCTTCAACCGTTATGGAAACTAATTGTTTGGACACGGAGTTATTTAATGACAATTCAGACTTTATTCAGTAAGGTAACAAAATTTAAAGACATCTTAAGGGAGATATCTGATGATGGTAAATGATATTGATAACTAAAACCTAATTATAGGAAAAAAGTAGTAGTATCACTGAAATAAAAATTAGAAGGATACTATTCATTCCGCATATAAATAAACAAAAATAGATAGGTATGTCAAATAGATATTCACAAAGTATCACTAGCAGAATTGTGTGAATTCATTAAACCAGTACTATATAACCTTGGTCCTTTATCTACTGGGATTATCTCAAATTCATTATTCCGCTTTTAATAACCATAACATAGAACTGTTCCAAAAGTGAAATTTACGCACAAATTTAATGATTCAAAAAGGTATTTTTCTGACGAAACCACTAAATTTCCAGGAAAAAAGAACGGTAAAGGAAATAGCGTAGAAACGAGCTAATCAGAATAGAGAAAACGATACTTGAGTTCTTGAGCGAAATTCAAGTATGAATAGATTTTAACTTAAATAAATTACGTAAGCTGAGTAGTAGAATTATCTTTTTATGATGGTTATACCATTTAAAATGATAACGAAGAATTACTTTTTTTACCATACAATGGCAATGACAGTTAAATGTACCGATTGCTTTATTCTCTCTGTGTAGATAGATTATAACACAAACCGACCCTAATGCCCTAACTGGAAACAATGTGAGGACTACTGAGAACCTATTTGTGTGATTAAAAGGGTTCAAGAAGACAGGCAATCTACTTCTATATGAACTAATTAATATGTTGTTGTTCTATTGATTTACAGACAAAACAACCCGGAGACTCATCAAGTACTGTTAAATTTTTATATAATTTTTCCCCTCAAAACTATTCAATTATGGTAACTGCTTTCTAAATGGTTAAGAACTGGCTGAACTTTGTCGCAGTTTTAAGCTTATTCCTGTAGTATGCTTTTACCGAAAGCACATCAAAGCGAAACAGTTATACTACTACTAAAAGTTTCGGCAATTATAATGGAGTTTTATATGGTGTAGAGATTCGTACACAGCAGCAGTAAAAAAAAGCGATTTACACCCATATTTAGGCGATTCTTTTTTTCTCCTGAATTTGACTATCTGGGGAATAATAATAAAATAAAAGATACAGAAAAAACTGTCACTTTTTCAAAAACTAACTTCAATCTGTCCACCAGCATTTAATGCCCACTGATCTAATTTCTTTTTGAAGTCATCCAGTGACAATGACGGAGTTAATCTAATGTCGAATGATGCTGTCAATTGTTCAGGTACAACATTATGCTGTACGCCTCCATTTATCATTGTCATATTAACTGTTGTTATATCCCCCAATGTTAGTTTTCCTAGAGAGTTTTCTAACCTTAATTGTTCTTCATTACGAAAACTGTAAACACTGAAAATCGAAAAAGACAAAACTATATGTACGAATTTCGTCTGAACAATTTTTTACTTGGAGATACATATCACGCTAGACAGAATTCATTATAGTTTAACTTCCTCTGTGCTGTTGGTCTCACTGGGAGAATAGCAGGGATTCCAACGCTTACAAGCTTTTCACTCCAATTGATAATTCTTTGACTATAAAAGTGACGCAGATCCATGAAGTGTTTTATTTACTATCAGTAAATAATAGAAAATTGGTTAATGTAAATTCTAGGTTATGAAGTTTGTCGTAGTAGAAATCGAAGATCAATAGTTCAAAGATAGGTATTATACTCTGCGAAATGTTCAAATGACCTGGAACTAACTCATAGAAGCCAAACTTATTTATTCAAATAATAGTTAACTATAAGGAGTTTCTATTGCAACAAGAGGAAAATGTAGACATTAACTCACACTTACATTTCAAGTTAGGAAGTTACCATATTTAGGATTAACAGTAGCAAACAAGAGCTACATAATTTATCGTAGCTGCTTTTAATAGATTTACAGACCTCCAACACCTGCTAATCAACAACATCATCAATAGCTTTCTGAAGGTGACAGCGATTGGTAGTGGACTTGATATTCAGTGGGTACCGTTAACGATAAAAAATGCAAGTAGATGTAGTTAGTGAGTTTGAAGTTGGATAAAAAGTATATCATGCATTCTACTATCAGTTATCACCGACAGAAAAACAAGAGATATCGTATTCAATATATATATATATATACGTGAGGGATCTATATTTTGACAGAAACTTACTAATTTAATCCTTTGAAAATACGATATGGAATCAACACAAACCCAAATAAAAACATGGAAGACATTTTAAGAAGTCTTACTGATTTAAAAATATCCGGAATTTTTCAGCGGCCGTATTTTCAATCAAAGCAAGACCATGACCAGCATTACCGTGAAAGTGTACATTTATCCAAACTGGACGACGTTCGTCATAAAATGCTAAATAATCTTCCGAACAACTTGGTATACCCTCATCTAAACAAAACCCAATATTCATATCTTGAAATCTAATTTCTTCGGAATGATGATTATTACATCGATTATGGTTTGATACAAATGGTTTCATTCCTTTCACACCACCCAACTCCTCGTCAGGTACAAAAGTCAAGTAAACTGTACGACGTAACTGGTGGCATCCACGTGATCTTAATCTTCGAATAGCCTCCAACTGTTGAATACCAATTGATTTCATATCCTTCAACAAAAGAATATAAATGGCATAATAGGTTAAATAACATTTCAAGACAGAGTATCTAATGATGTGTTTCAGAATTTCACAAGTAATAAACAAACTTTGCAGTTTACATTACGAACTGACGTTGGTTAGACAACTGTTGAAAACATCGATTACATTCCAGTATAGGACCTCCAAGTGAGCACTGAGGAGGCTACCGGAGATTGAGCCGAAAACCTCCAGATCTCGCAGTGAGTCTTTGAATTTTAGAGAACTGAATTGGGATCCGATGGTTTATATTACTGATTTTATTCAATTCGTGATATTACTCGACCATTTTCCAGTCCAGTTAGTGGACAACTTTCTTACTCTTGGCCTGGTTGAACTGCGCTAGTTACGTCTTTACAAGGTATATGGAAAAATGATCTTTGTAAATTAGTTACTAGTAAGATGGGGAGTGTCATACTAGCATGAAACAGTTGTCCAGTGCTTCCCAGTTTTTAATAGTTAGATAACTAATGTCAGTTTGTGACGTAAAGAGGAAAATTCGAAAATCTCCACACATACCCTACACTAATATTAAAACAGAAAAAAGATACATAGAATTTGAAAATTTTCCGAAAAAGTGTCAAATGGGTGATATATGGATAGTTTATAGCAGTTTTAAAAACTTATTTTAAAATTATTTATTTTGCAATGAGATATGTGCGACTGAATTTT